GTCAAGGTCAAGATCTCGATCCCGTTCTCCGTCTCATTCTCGACCCAGAAGACGTCATAGATCACGGTCAAGGTAGGACTTGAAGTGACTGTGAAGGCTGAGAATGAATATTTTCTGCTGAAGAGGCCACTTAATGTTCTTGGTTAGTGATGTTTGTAGAGGTGTTGAGCTGTGGATGTTTTAGGCCAAATGAGGAAGATGCTTTTGATGCATAAACGTGTTTGGGAGTGTTTTCTTTCTATCAGTTCATGAGAAGCTGCTTACAGTGACCAACACTGGCTGGAGAAGGAATTGGGCTACTTAATACTGAATATGGCATTTGAGAGATAATGGGAATTGTGTAGCCTTTCTTTAGGAGACAGGTTTCCTGCTGAAGGTGTTGTAAAATACTTGTGTGTGAATGAACACTTTGCACCTTAACCTAAATGATGCACTTGGAGAAAAGCAACTCAACACTCGGTGCCCTGAGGATAAATTTCCTCCAGTGTGTGAATTAGGTAGTTGCTTTTCATTGGAATTTCTGATCATGACAGGTCTTACTCCCCTAGAAGGCGACCGAGCCCCCGCCGACGGCCGTCCCCGCGGAGGAGGAGCCCACCCAGGCGAATGCCTCCCCCACCCAGGCACAGAAGAAGCAGGTCCCCCGTGAGGAGGTAAGATTCCTGCTTTTTGAGACAACTGAATAGTGTTAAACTTGGAAAGCTTGAAGGGAACACTAGTTGTGAGGAGGAAGTGTTAACAGAAGGGCCTGGTTCGTCTCACCTTCGTGCTGTCAGGTGGAGGATTAGAGGGACAGAAATGCTGCAGGGTCACATTTCCTGAGTGTGTGGTGGGGGAACACAATTGGAGCTGTGAAATGATTTCTTCTGACTGAGGTGGAGTTCTCATCACTGTTCTTTTTGAAAAGTGGCAAGTTCAGAACTGTTACTTCTTCAAATGGCTCTGGGTAGCTCCCAGCATAGATTGACATGACATCTCTTAAGACTTTTTTTGCTTGAGTCTTACTTTTTCCCCTTGCCTGGGGAAAAAAATGAGAACAAGTAGCTGGATTTTAGTTTTAGAAGTTTTTTAATTGCGACTTAAATTTCCATCACATAAAATTGAAACCAAAATCAAATTTGGACTTGAAATGTGTTTCTTCTTCATATTATTTTACTTAAAAACTTTCAAGGTCTGCTCTCTGGTGTTGGAAGTTACAGTTTTGACAGCATAAGCAGTGGTTCTAGTAGCAAAGCTCTCAGTTGCCTTGCAGAGTAAATTATGTGGTTGTGGCAATGGCAAAATAGACATTTGTCTTCATGGGGAGAGAACAGATTCTTATCCTCCTCATGGGAAGAGAATTAAAGTGATGCTTCCTGTGTACAGCAGTTGTTCTTTTTGAGGAAGGAACACTTCTTCCTTCTTGTGACAAGGTGTGACTATTTCCTGAGTTTGTCAATATGTTCATTTCACACAGTTACTGGGAAAACTGTGAACAGTATCAAACATGTATGTTGCAAGATGTACAAGAGCTCCCTTTCAGCAAATGTTTATCTCACTCAAGGTAGGGTTTCTTTTTTCCAGGTTCTCAGGAATTCTGCAGCCAAAGGTGGATTCTGCAGGTACACAATTGCAACAGAACTTGCCACAAATTTTGCCGCAGAATTCTGAGGCCCTACCTTTTAAAATTTGCAAAGTAAAGATGAAAGACTAAAACATCAGGATGGATAGATTGATTCTGAATTGTTAAGTCCTTAAGTTGTCTGAAATTTTTACCTCCTGGTATTAAGCCATTTCAGTGCACTTGCACACTAAACTCTTATACAGATCTGTCCTGAAGATCGTTAGATCACACGTGCTAACACAGAGAATTCTCTTAACCATCCAAAAGTTAGAGAGCCCAAACAAAACTAATTGTTCCCAGGGGAAAAGCTTAGTGGTAGCCTGTAGATTGACAGAAAGCCAGCGAAGGTGACACTAACAATTTTTAGCTCACTATGTAGTTTAAGAATAACTATGAAAGATTGGTTGTTATTCTCCTCTTCTACCAACCAAGTGTTGAAGGCTGCCCACCGTGTTTTGGAAGTGCTGTTGTCTGTGGCTCAATGTCTGTGCTTGCAAACAACTGCAGTTCTGTGTTCGTGCTGCAATGCCCCCAGTCTGCCTGCCCCGGGCTCTAACGTGGCGTTGGATTTGCAGGAGAAGACGCTCATCGGCCTCCTTATCCGGCAGCAGCTCTTCCTCCTCCTCCTCGCGCTCCCGCTCTCCGCCAAAGAAGCCTCCCAAAAGAACCGTGTCCAGCCCTCCTCGGAAAACCCGCCGGCTCTCCCCTTCCACCAGCCCTCCCCGGCGGAGGCACCGGCCCTCGCCGCCCCCAGCCCCCCGCCCAAGCCCCGCCGGTCCCGACGCCGCAGCAGTCCAAACCGCGCCAGAAAGAGCCGCGGCTCCGTCTCGCCGAGCAGAGCTTCAGGTGAGGGGCCGATGTTTGCGTTCTCCTGGCTCGGCCACGTCCTGCCTTTGTGCGGTTTGCAAGGGCAGAAAAGCGTGGAAGGGTGTAATGAGTCGCAGCTGAGCGATTTGATTCTTGTCTTGTAGCACCCAAACATAAGAGTACTGAAAAAAGAGAGTCTCCCTCGCCAGCACCAAAGCCAAGGAAGGCAGAGCTGTCGGAATCAGGTAACGGCTCTCGCTTTTCAGCGCTGCTTTTGGGGGGGGTTTTTAGTCAAAAAGGCACGATAGTAAAGGGCAGTGAGGTGCTGAACCCAATAGTCTGGCACTGAAAGTGAGAGTTTTCAGAAGGCTAAAGATAATCACTCACACTGCCTCATTCTAGATAAGATTTCTTGGAAAAAAGCTCAGCCAAAGCGTATTCCAGCCTTAATGTTATCTTAAGATTTGGGGGGGAAAACCCCCGTGCTTGATGATCTGCTGTACTTGACTTTGCTTCTGCCTGAATGAGGCACATTTGTACCTTTTGGTTTAAATGTTCTGTCCATGTGTGTCCTTTCAGAAGAAGACAAAGGAGGTAAAATGGCTGCAGCAGATTCTGTCCAACAGAGGCGCCAGTACAGGAGGCAAAATCAACAGTCGTCATCTGGTATGGAGGACAGAAATTTCCTAAAACTGGACTGTAGTTTGCTTTTGCAGGGAGTAGTTAAGGTTAAGTTCAAATGCCAGTAAAAATTATCTGCAGTGCTACTGTAAACGTAATTATAGATTTGCCACTCATAGTGAGGTCCCTTTAATTGTTTCTCAGGAAGAATTAAAGTTTAAAGGTATCTTTTGTTATCAGGTTTGCATCTTGAAGAGTTGCACTTTTAAACTCTCAACATCACACACAAATACTGTGTGCTGTGGATTATTTTATCTGTTCTTGTTGTAGGTTACTTCCTAATATTTCTAATACTTGGGACTCTTTGATTTTTGAGATCATTAAATTCACCTGGGCCTGGCGTAGGTTTTTGTCCATGCAATGTTTCTATAAGTGACCGCAGTTCACCTTCTAAATTACCTGGTTAATCAAATTTTATGAGGACAGTCGGGTTGCTGCAAGTATTTTCACCCAGCTCTGATGGGTTTATTTATCACTTGACTTCAGCCCACATTTTTCATTGAACTGGTTTTAGACAGCGGCTCCTTGTTTTGCGGGAGGGGAGGTCGGGGGCTGGAATGTCAGTGACTGTGATGAGTGTAACGAGGATCACTTCCCAGAGAGTGATTCTTCTACGTTTATAGATTCTGGTTCTTCATCTTCCTCTGAAGAGGAAAGACCCAAGAGGTCCAACGTGAAGAACGGGGAGGTCGGCAGACGCCGGCGCCACTCGCACTCCCGCAGCCCCTCGCCGTCTCCACGGAAACGACAGAAGGAGTCCTCCCCTCGGTAATTCCTTCTCACCTTGAGCAGAACTGACATCTTTTTCTTCTATTTGTTGTTGTTTATCTCCTCTGCATCTGTCAGAGAATACATCACAATTAAGTCACGTCCAGCTCGCCCAATCTCGTTTCAAGATTTCATTCCTCATTTGGCGAAAATGACTCTGACCTTTCTTTGAGTGTGTTGGTTTTTTTGCCTCAGATACCTGGCAGATAGATTTGTTTTGTTCTGTTTTTTTTCCTCCACTGCTCTCAGGATGCAGATGGAAAAGAGGTGGCAATCGCCAGTGATGAAAAGGTTGGTTAGAAATTCATCTGTTAAATAGGATTTACATCTAGAAAATCATTTAGACTGGCTGTCATTTATACTGTCATGGATAAGTACTTGTTGTCCTTTGCACACTCAAGGTGGTAAGGTGAGGGAAATTCAGACTGATGGGTTCCTTGATGTGTTGGATCTGGGGCCATTTCACTGGGTAATAAAAAAAAAGAGGAGCAACACCTGCTCTGTCTCCTTCCCTGCTCACTACTTGTTAATTCCCATCAGCCTGTGACATTAATAACATTAGTGTTTCTGACATCTTACTGATACCTGCAAACACCTGAACACTTGTGTTCTTTGGGGTTCCCCACCCCAAATACCTGGTTTGAAGGATGGCTGAGCAGGACTGGGTTCCTGCTGCCACTGACTAAAACCCTCCAGGCCCATTGCAACGAGCAAATGAGATCTTGATGTTCAGGGTCCCAGATAATTGGAGTTTTCAAAAGTCTCATTCCTCAGTTCATTAGATATTTGAAACCACTACTAGTAGACAATTAGTAGACTAGTAGTGAACACCTCCTTTATTTTCTTTTGTGTAGGCAGCATTGTCAACACTTTATTTGTGATATTGTTTTCTCTGTGTTGATCTGGGAATACAGGAAGGTGCAGGAAGCTGGGTGTTTGATGGGTTTATTAATCTGTTGTAATGACCCTTGAGCAAGCTGTAATTAAGCCCCAACTAGAAGATACTCACAGCATACATCATGATGTAAGAGATAAGTAGGACAACTACCATTCTAATGATGGATCTTGTCAAACAATTCTGTGTAAAACAGGTTGCAATTCAAAGGGTTTGATCTGTTTTGCAACATGCTGAATTCTCCAACTGCCTATTGCATAAATGTATGTTTAATTAGGACAATTAGCACCTTTGAAGGCTGGGGTTTTTTGGAATCATAAAAGGACATTGTATTTTGAATCTCAGTTTATGTAGATGAGCTGCTTTGCTTTATAATTGCTTTCATTTTTCCCTTATCCAGTCATTTTATCTTAATTGCTTTTTTTAAAAAGAACATTTTACCAATATTCCCCTCCTTTAAAATTCTAGGCAAGTATGTGTTGCATTAAAATTTCCCCTCCCAGAAGTCTGTTGTAAACCTGGCACGGCAGAAAATGGCTCATTTCGTGAATAATTTTAATCCAGATAGCTGCAGTTTAGCAACAACTCTGATTTTTTTTTTTTTTCCCCTCTCTGCATTTCAAGAAAAAATGATTTTGGATTTCAGATCCGTAGCTAAAAGCTGGTTTTGGGGGTGCAGTTTCACACTGTGGAGAAAATTAACTCGGCACGTTATCCATCAGTTATTCCAGACATTTGGAATATCTTTGGCCACATCTTTGGCCACAAGGTGGTGATGCATCAGGTGGTGCAGAGTGTGGAATTGTCCCTGGTGGGCTCAGAGTTACAGTAAAACAGGTGTTGTCTCACACTCTTCACAAAGACCTCAGTCTGCTTCTCCCCCTGGTTCCAGTAGGGTTTAGTTTCAAACCGTGCGAACGAGGTGATTTTGTGTAGCGAAAGCAGGGCAGAGAAGAATCTTTTGGAGGTTTTCTGGAGGTTTTCTGGAGGTTTGCTGAGCAGTGTTTCTCTCTGCAGCAGGAGGAGGAGGAGTCCCTCTCCGCCCCCGGCGCGGCGGCGACGCTCGCCCTCCCCGGCCCCCCCTCCCCGGCGCCGGCGCTCCCCGTCCCTGCCCCGGCGAAGGTAGGGCCCTTCTCAGGGAGGGTTTGTTCCCTTCCCACTGGGACATGGGAAAAGAAATGCCCTCTCACCTGTTCCTTGGCTCCCAGCTTGCTGGGGAGAGTGTGGGTGGTGGGTGCGTGGCCTGGATGGCACTGGATGCCTGGAGCAGATCCTGAATTGCGGATTGTGGAGTGGCTTGGCTTGAACTGAATGACCTTAAAACTCATTCAGTTCCATCCCCTGCCATGAACAGGGACACCTTCCACTATCCCAGGTTGCTCCAAGCCCTGTCAAACCTGACCTTGAACACTTCCAGGGATGGGGCATCCACAGCTTCTCTGGGCAATGAGTTTTAAAGGATTTTAGTTTGAATTTTTCAGAAGCCTTAAAAGAGTTTCCTTTTAAATTTCTAGACCTTTTAAAGGATGTTAGTTTAAATTTTTAGAAACCTTAAAAGAGTTTCCTTTTAAATTTCTAGACCTTTTAAAGGATGTTAGTTTAAATTTTTAGAAGCCTTAAAAGAGTTTCCTTTTAAATTTCTAGACCTTTTGAAGGATGTTAGTTTAAATTTTTAGAAGCCTTAAAAGAGTTTCCTTTTAAATTTCTAGAACTTTTAAAGGATTGTAGTAGAAGTTTTAAAGGATTTTAGAAGAATTCCTTGGGTGAATCCCAGGCCTGGCTGGCCCCTGACTGTTGGTTCTCTCCGCAGGTCTCCATCCCCGCCCCCTCGCAGGCGCTCTCCCTCTCCCCGGAGATACTCCCCCCCTATCCAGAGGCGATATTCTCCATCACCACCTCCCAAGAGAAGAACAGCTTCCCCTCCTCCCCCTCCCAAACGAAGGGCCTCCCCTTCCCCGCAGTCCAAGCGCAGAGTCTCCCACTCGCCGCCGCCCAAACAGAGGAGCTCCCCGACGGCCAAGCGGCGTTCCCCTTCCGTGTCCTCCAAGCACAGGAAGGGATCTCCTCCCAGCAGGTCCAACCGGGAAACACGGTCCCCACCTCAAAACAAAAGGCATTCACCCTCGCCACGGCCTCGAGCTTCCCACCCCTCTGCCAGCCCGCCGCCGCCGCGGAGGGGAGCGTCGGCGTCGCCCCAGAGGAGACAGTCCCCATCTCCCAGCTCCAGACCCATCCGCAGGGTGTCCAGAACGCCTGAACCCAAGAAGACAAAGTAAAACAATCCATCTTTGCTGCTTTGGGTTTCACGAGGGGTTTTTGTTTTGTTGTAACACAGCGGGAGTAGCCAGGGGGTCACGGAATCTCATATTGGTTTGGCCTGGAGGGGACCTTAAAGATCATTCAGCTCTACCCCCATGCGTGGTCCACTAGCCCAGGTTGCTCCAAGCCCTGTCCAACCTGGCCTTGGACACTTCCAGGGATGGGGCAGCCACAGCTTCCCTGGGCAACCTGTGCCAGGGCCCCACCCCCCTCTGAGTAAAGAATTTCTTCCCAGTATCCAATCTAAGCCTGCCCTCTGTCAGTTTAAAACCATTCCCCCCATCCTGTCACTGCTTGCCTGCATAAAAAGTCCCTCTCCCTTTTTCTTATAAGCCCCCTTGAGGCACTGGAATGCTGCCATGGGTTCTCTCTGAGCCTTCTCTTCTAATTGCTGGCTTTAAAGAACAATGAACTTTATCTTTAAACCTAGCTGTGGAAGGGAACCAACACTTCTCATTAGCTCATAAATAATTTTGCAGGTGGTCATCTGAGAGAAACTACTAAAATTCAAAATCTTTTTGTCCTTAGTGTGATGCTGTTCTTATGAGCACGTAGTCAAAAATATGGCGCTGGCTTATTGTTTTGGGAAGATGTAGCTGAGTGGAAAGCCTTGCACTCTTCATTGGGTGATCCAATAGCATTGCTGTTCTCTTGACTTTTAATGAATTAGTGATATTAGGAAGGGAGTAATCACTCCTGAGCAGCAGCAGGATTGTTTAACAGGCTGCATTGTCCTCCTGCATCACAGACCCACAGTGCTATTGGATTGTTTGGCCTTTTGTAACGTGCCAGCAAAGCAATTAATAATCTTCTAAGTGGCAGCTTGACCAAGTTATAAGCACACATATAATTTGGCTCTTTGGTTTGTTTTTACTTGTGTCTGTCTCTGACTGTGACTGTTCTGTTTTTCAGGGCTTCCACCCCCAGCCCCCGGCGCGTGTCCTCGTCTCGCTCGGCCTCGGGGTCCCCCGAGCCAGCACCCAAAAAGCACCAAGGACCTGCATCTCCTGCTCGCTCTCGTTCTCCCTCTGCCAACTGGTCACCTGCAAAAAAGGCCAAAAGCCCAACTCAGAGCCCCTCACCTGCCAGGGTATTTGTTTGCTCATAAAGCCATGCTGGGTCATAGGGCAAGATGTGTTCCTGAAGGCTGAGCTGCTGAGCAGCTCTGAGGTTCTTCACACGGGGGGGGAAGAAAAATCCTTGGGGTGTTTTTCATAGTTAAAACCATAAATTTTTCAGATTTAACATCTCAGAGTGTGAATACAAGTGCTATTTATATAAAAATTCTGGAAGAAAAGTCCCATTTTATGAGTCTACATGAGTTTTGTGATGTCAAGTGGTGTGGGCTTATTTGTGCTTAGTAATCTTGCATGCAGACTTTAGGCTGTTCCTAGCAGGAAGAGAACAGATTGTTTGGCATCCTTACCTGAGGTGTTTCCCAGGGACACTTCCACTCTTTGCCAGAGAATTTGGAAGCCTTAGGGATGAGTTGTAATACGTTGCATTGTTCGTTACAGAATTCAGATCAAGAAGGGGGCGGCAAGAAGAAGAAGAAAAAGAAGGATAAGAAGCATAAAAAGGATAAAAAGCACAAGAAGCACAAAAAACACAAGAAGGAGAAGGCGGCCGCGGCCGCAGCAGCTGCTGCTGTGGCTGCAGCAGACACCACCTCCACACAGGAAGACCAGGAAGCAGAGACAGAACCCAAAAAGGTAGGAATTTGGTACCTGAGCTGCACTTTGTAAGGGTCCAGTGTAAGAAGGCAGGTGGGGGTGGACGGGCACTGCACTCCTGGGACTGACAGCTGTGATTCCAGGAGGAGCCTTGGTGTGGCACAGGTTCCCCTTCGGGGTTTGTGCTGTTGGGAGGGCTCGGCCTGGCTCGGTTTGGGTGTTTGAATCAGGGCTTTGTCTTTGTTTGAAGGAGACAGAAAGTGAACCTGAAGACAACCTGGATGACCTAGAGAAGCACCTGCGAGAGAAGGCCCTGAGGTCCATGAGGAAGGCGCAAGTATCCCCACCATCCTAGGCCCGGCCCTTTGATATAATGTACATTTTATTTGGTTTGTACTCAGAATTCAATTTCAAATTGCTAAATGTGTTTGAGCTTTAGAATATAACATTTGTTGTAATAATTGCTAGGTTGAGGTTCACCATGTACAAAAGGGCATGGATTTACATTACAAAAGGTGTCCACAGTGTACTAGTGACATTCTTTCATTGACAGCATAATTTCATTTAGAGTGAGACTTCTTAGAAGCAGTAGGAATTTTGTTTTGAAGGTTTGAAACATGACCGTCAATTCCCTTGTTTCTTTGAACTCCAACAAAGCCTTGAGCATAATTTGTGAGGGTCTCATTTGACTTCTTTTGTATCCACTTACATGATGCTACTAACCTTTGTGGTTTGTAAGCTTGCCCAGGAGTAAAACCACTGCAGAATTCCAAGGAAGTACATCTATATTTTAATGCTTTCTACTGTTGCCTGTATAGTCTCCATTAAAGCCAATCAAGAATAGCAATTTAGAATGGTACATAAATGAAAGCATGTTGTTTACCAGGACACTGTGGGTTTATATTGATGTTAACATGTTGATTTGGAACACTGGAATTTCATTTGTATTTTTATGTTCTTTTTTTAAAGGGCAGTTTCCATGATCAGCAGTCCCAGAAAAACAAACAAAAAAAAATAATTCCTTCAGTTCCATAAATTTTATTTGTGAGCTGTCGTTGCCCCAATTCATAAATCTTGTCTCGTTACGGTTCTTCGGAATGGTCAGAGCAACTTTCAGAGATGTGGTCTTTGAAAGTTTGAGGAACCTGAACTTTGGATATTGTCATGTTTTCACTGTTCTTTGTTTTTGTTTTTTTAACTAAAGCTATATAAAGCTTGTGGATTAAACAAAATAAATTTCTAAATTTAAACAGATGTTGGCTATTTTTATATGGGCATTTACATTTGCTAATCGGCTTTCTTTTGTACGAGGTTCATGAATACTCAGAGATGAAAAAGTATTTGATCCAGTATGCTGGCTCTGGAAAAATTGGGGCTTTTAACTGTCCTGAGGGAGCAGGAAGAGCCCTTTAATTAGTGATGCTCCTGTTGTGTTCTTGCAAAGCAAGAGTCAAACAGCCTTATCTGGTCAGCTCTGATAGGATGGAGAAGCTTAAAGCAAACCAAACGTGTGCTGTGGAAATGGCTTGTCAGAGCAAGTAAAATGTTTCAAGGTCCTGCAAAAAATGAACAGCAGGTTTAATTAACTTAGTGAAGGAGTTGTAGTTGTGTGAGGAATCTGAGGAATCCTGGGGGCTCACTGCCTTTCCATAATCATGGAATCACAGCGTGGTTTGGGTTGGAAGGGACCTTAAAAGTTACCCAGTTCCAACCCCCATATCATCATACTGGAAACTTGCTGGATTACTGCTGTTGAATTCTTTTAAAAACTCAAGCTGTGCTTCTGAAATCAAATCAGCTCTGAAGTCTGGGGTTCCTCTGGAAGGAGGAATGGAACATATTTTGAATTTTTTTTGTCCTGCATCTGAAGTAGATGTGATGTGTACAATGAAGTGTAGATATTTGATGAGTCTTTTTACTTGCCATCGTGTAGGGTTTTGGACTAAAGCAGGGCTGCTGTAGATCTTGGGTGGAAGGGGATATTTGAAAGTGGCTCCTGCACTTCCTTATGTGCTGCATCTTTGTTTCCTAGCATAAGTATCATTGTATGCTCAAGTGCTTGTAAACCTACTTCAGCAGCTTGAATGTTGAGTATCATCTGTTATTAAAATGTGTATAATAAATTCCAAGAAGCTTCTGGACAAAGACATTTTTAAAAGTACATTTGAGTGGATTTGGTGCTTATGAAGCCACAGACCTGGATATGGGATGTGCTCCTTCAGCTGGATTTTCCCTGGGATGTTCCTGGGCAGCACAAATGACTGGGAGGCTGCAGAGCCCTGGGCTGTGCAGCTCCCAAGGGTTAATGCCTCCTCCTTTATCATCCCAATCTTGCTTCCACCTGGGTTTGGTGACCTCCCAGTGCCTTTTAATCTTAGCACTAATAGAAGTTCTTTAAATATGTTCAGTACCTGAGTCACTGCTTATCTTCCCTCACACCTATTTCCATCTCCTGCCTCCAGGACTCTGATAAAGGGCCTCACTGCTGGTTTTGGATGTTCCCCCACCTCTCTCCTTTGGAGCTTCTATTGTTGGTGCTCCCTCCTCTTATTTCATCTATCCATAAAGAATGGTTTAGGTTTAAAAAGAGCAATTAAATATGCTCTTTAAGAGGAGTGTAACTTCTAAGTTGTGTTTAGCTGAATATTTTAATTCCTTCCTACTTAACCCATTCAAGTACTAACGTTGTATTTAAATACCAGTCAAGGGATAAACCAGCCTTCTCCTGTCCTCTCCTGAGCTCTCACTGTTCTTGCTGCTCTCAGTGCTGTTGCTTAGATGTTTTTTAGCACAGAATCTCTTCTGGGCTGATTTCCATTTGTGTCTGTACAGCAAAGCTTTGTCCTGGGAAGCTGTTGACTGACATCACTGAATTCACTCCTGATCCCCTGATTGAGATCCCATCATCCAAAGCCAAACTTGTCTGATCCCTTCACTGCTCCAGCTTCTTGGTTAACCTCTTCTCTCTGTTTTTCATCCTTTTATTTGTAGCTGCTGTAGTTCAGAAAGTGACTGTGCAGGTGCCTGGTGCGATGGGGTGGAAGCTGCGTGGATCTCACTTGCTCTTTTTTGTGGTGGATCTGCTAGTGCTGAACGCTGGGGTTTTGACCCAGGCCATCTTCCTGAAGTGACAGGTACAGGGTTTAGAGAAGGGACTTGCTGCAGTAATTATATCTAACTGCACAAAATGGCCCCACTCAAGTTTAGTTGGCTTAAATAATTTAATTGAAAATGAGTCTGCTGGAGTGAGGCTGGAGTGAGTCATGGACAGGCCAGTCTCTGTAGCTCACACAAAAGAAAGATGTATTTGTTGTGTCAACAGGTGGGACAATGGCAGGTGTGTGTGTGTGTGTGTGTGTGTGCAAGGGTTCAAAGTTTATAGAAACTCAGTGCTGGATTATTAAATTTTTCCACTTGTGTGACTTTGGCAGTTTGCCTGAGAGTCACCATTGGGTTTACATTGAAACTAAGCAGTGAATTGCCTCAGGGGACAGAACTGTTCTGCTGCTGCTCTGGACAGGGCCTTGTGCTCCCTGCTGTGATCCCAGAGATAAATGAGGCAGAGTTCTGTGCTCAGAGCCATCACTAAACCTGGCTCATCAGAGCTCCCTCGTGCTCAGCTCTGCTGTGTCTGACACAAATGAGGCTCCCGAGCTGAGTCTGGCCAGGGAGGGCTGGAGGGAGGGCCCTGGGCTGGGAGGAGCAGCTCAAACATCCCCGTGCAGTTTTGCACTCTGACTTCATTCCTCAAGCACCAAACCTCCGAATAGGTGAGTTTTGGTATGAAAAGCAGCTCTTGGAGGAGCAGCTTTCAGCAGGGCATGGAGCTGTATTTTGATTGAGTTTCATTTCAACTGTTGTGTGTGGTAACTTATGATTTAGCACAGGATCATCCCCTAAACCCTGGAACTGTCTGCCTAAAGTCTATTGTTGGTGTCACCAATGAATCCAGCAGTCACTACCCTGACAGTTCCAGTGGAATTCTGTTTCTCTGGATCAGACCTTACTCATTCCAATGAATTACCTGGGTATTTCTTCGAGGACAATAAAAAGATTATTAAAGCTGAGCACAATGGAACAGAACATTGTGTGTGTCCAGACTTTAATCAACAGTTTGACTTTTGAACGGGTGTTGTGTGGATCCTGCCTGTCTGCCAGGGAGGGAAGATCCTCTGGAATTCTTCCTTAGCTGGGAGTGTCGGATTTTGCAATGGGACCCGGCCAACTCCCGGGGCAGGTGAGTCAGCGTTTGACACCCCAGGCTGGGTGAAGCTGGATTAGAGGGCAGGTGACTCATGGGGATGGCAGCCACGCTGTGCCATCCATGCAGTGTTTGGCCACAGGTTTGGCTAATCCCAAAAATCAGCACTGCAGGATGCTGGCTCCCAAACCAGTGCTGGAAGCACAGCTCCCTCAGGTCAGGGTTGCCAGAGGGGGGGAGATGACTGAGCCTTCAGTGCAATGTGTTTTCATCATCAAATAACTACCTGTAGAGTTCCTATTGTGGCAGATTCTGTAAGAACAGTGGGTCTGCTCATTTGGGATCAATGCCTTGGGAATTGTGTAGTGAACACCTGCCAGAGCCAGTGGTGCAGGACTTGACCTTCAGGCCATGAGCAAGGACTGGGGGAGGCTGCCCAGCCCAGGACAGGGGGTCAGGAATCATTTTTAACTCCCCCATCTTTCCCCAGCCAGGCCGGGCTGTGTGTGGTGGGATGAGCCGAGCACAGGAGGGATGTGGGGTCCGGAGCCTCCATCCCCCCCCAAAGGCAGGATGAGGCCACCCCACGGGTCCCCAGCACTCACAGCATCAGTGTGGCCTTGGGATGGAGCTGGAGCTGCGTGTCCTGAGCAACGACCACGGCTGGAGAAGGGGCAGGAGACGGGAGCAGGGGCTGCTCCGACAGCGATACCGGCGCCTGACACAGCCCCCCGGAGCCAGCTCTGCTGCTGCACTAAGGTAATAAAGTCCAGGGAGCAGCAGGTGCTCATGGAGAAATGGAGAAGGACGTTGTCCACCAGATACTGGAGAGCTCAGGTTGCTCTTTCCAGCTGCGGGAGAGGAGGGGGGCTGGTCCCTGCGTGTGAGCCGCGGCCGCTGCTCGGGGCAGGGTGGGTGAGCTCTGAGTGCTCGGCGTGGGAAGCTCGGGATCCTTCTGTTTCACTTAAAGAAAACACGGAAAACGGCTGTCTTGGGAAAGCAGCTCTGGGGGGAAGGGAATTGCTGGTTCCTCCACACAAAGGCTTTGTGTTCGGTGCAGGGGCAGAGCTGCAGCTTGTGTAAATTGTTGTGGCTGTGCTGAAAGGAGCGGAGCTCTGCTGCCGACTCAGCTCGGGGATGGCCCCTGGAGAGAAGGGTCAGCCCGTGGGGCCGGGCTCTCCAAGCACGTGCATCACTTATCTGCTCAGCCAGAGCTTCCTTTTGGGATTTCTCCCCACCCTTGACCTGTGGAGATGCTGTGCCCTGCTCCAGGTTGTCCCCAAGCTCACAAACCTCGGCTGCCTCTGCGGTGCCCCTGCCCTGACCCAGCACGTGTGGTGGGAGAAGGGAATGTCCATGATGGGACAACCTGGGCCTTGGCTCCGGGTGCTACCTGGGAAGCTCATGGAAGGGTATTTGCCCAGGAAGGGGATGGTTGTAATCCCTCACTCAGGTTTATGAAGAATTGCCTACAAACTTCACGTGAAACCAAAGCCAGCGGAACGTTGGTGAAAAATGCTGATCCCTTTTATGAATAACCCCCACATGCTTCCCCTTTCCAGGAGGGAGGAAGCTCCCATTAAAAATTGATAGTCTCCCTGTCAGCTGGATTTTAATTCAGCAAGTGGATTTGACTACTGATGTGAAAAAACTACCTTTGTCACCGTGCTGATATTTTTTTAATGAGACAGAAATGGTTTGGCACCTTTCCAGCTTATTAAAATCTCTGTGAGTCCACAGGCACTGGCACAAGGGGATGAGAAGGGAAAATTACATTGAGTGCGTGATTGGCAAAACAAAATCAAGCACTTTTTTATTTATTTATTTTTAATCTGTTACAAGCCTGTGAATGAATCCTTCTATTATTTATGGGGGAGGATAAAGGGAGCCGTCCCTGTGGCTGCAGGAGGAGGCAGACTCTGCTTTCAGTTCAACTCTTCTTTCCAGATGAGGAAAGTGAACACCTCACTGTTACCCAGGGCAGAGAGAAGTGAAGGTAGTTGTGTGAAAATGGAGTAATTCACATGTTTTGTGGGAGAACAGGGCATTACCA